GGGGGGGTGGGGGGTGTGCTCTGATTGGAAGCTGCTGGAACACATCCTGGGACATGTGAGAAGAACAGGGTGTTGGAAGGGTACAGCCGGTGTTTCCGACTCATCCCGGTCCCGGGACTCAACTGTCAAAGAATCATGAGGATTTCTCCTCAGGGGGCTGAGTCCTTGAGTCCTAGAGACCAGCCAGCAGCCTGGAGCAATCTGTGAACCTCATGGAAAACTGGGTTCCATGCCATTAATGAGAAAGAGGGGATGATAAAAAAACGCCATTTCAGTTTGAGCCAGGCTCTCTGCGAGCCCCCTTGGGGGGTAGGAGGGAAGGGCCCGCTGATGCCACTGAGGCTACAGCCAGAGATTTGTGCTCTATCCTCACTTCCCTTGGCTTTTCCTCCAACATTTGGGGCTATTGTAACCTTGAAACAAAGGATTTTCTCTTTGTCAGTAACATACTGTTCATATTTTCTGGTATCGGCGATTTCTTTCGACTTTAATTTGAAATAGTGTGCGTGTGCATGGGCAATCCTTCAATAAGATGATGTTCCCTGAATTCGTTCTCAGCCCCTTTCAGTGCTGCTTATGGCTCTGATACATATTGGTTTGGTTACTGGAAAATTTTGGAGTTTTTTTCTTGTTGAGTTTTTGCACATATATAGTTCACAGGATTTTTTTTTCCAGTTATAATTTTAGGGGGGGAAAAGGGTAATAGAGAGTAATAGTGTGACTTGAATCAGGATTATTGCCTAAGACTCTGGACCCAGTTCAGCGTACATTAGTAATTTCATCTTCTGCTCGCCATTTCTTTCTGTCTTCCCAGGAGGACTTTAAGAAGGATAATGAAGAGGAACTAACCCAAGTCCTGTGTGAGAAGGAGCAGGCTGAGCCTGGGGCCGGGGTGTGCTCCTTGCTTCTGGCCCAGTCTGAGGTGAGGCCTCACTGCCTGCTGCTGGTCTTGGCCAACAGAACAGGTAAGGGGCGCATCTGTCTTGGGGTCTAGGGAGAAGAGCTGGGTTAACTTTGGGAGAGGCTCTCCTGAGATGGACCACCCTGGCCATCAGAGCATCATCTAGAACATCATAGGAGGGCACAGCTCTTCCAGCTTCTAGATTCAGCAGTCCCTGTTTCTAATTCTAGAACTTTCCAGGAAGCTCCAACTTCTGAAAAAGCACCAGTCTGACCTGAAAAAGGTAAGTTCTCTAAGATGATGGGAATTCTCAGAGGGAATACTGGGTCAAGGGAATTCATTCGAGTAGGGGAGAAAGTAATTCTCTTTTCTAGACCTGTCCTTCCTATCTCTCCAACCTTCTCCGACAGTCTTTACCTTTCTGTGCTTGAACCAAAATTTTATGGTGCAACTTGATTAAGAGATGTCAGTCTTCAATCCCGTTTAGAAAAATCCCTGAGGTCAAAGTCTTCTTGTGTTTCTCCTCTGCTGGGTCTAGCATGGGCTCCAGAACTCACATCCCACAAGTGACAGTCTGTCTGTTCTGTGTCTTCCCTTCCAGCTGGGGATCCAAGGCTTCACTGAGCAAGATGTTGGGAGCCACCAGAGCTCTTCCCGCAAGACCCTGATTGCACTGGTCACCTCAGGGATCCTGCTGGCTGTCTTGGGCACCACTGGCTATTTCCTGATGAACCGCCGCAGCTGGAGTCCCACAGGAGAAAGGCTGGTCAGTTTAGGGGTCCAGGGCAAAGAAAATGAGGAAGATAGTGGTCCTCTGGGGAGGTCCATAAGTGTCACGAAGCAGGGAGGAGAAATCCCAGGAAAGGTACTTCTGTGCCTTTATGCATGGACGTGCATACACGCACATTACCATGTCAGTGGACAAGGCTGAATAATATGGAGCAGATTAGGAAGAGGGCACTAACTGGGGTCAGCCCACCCGCTCACTGTGGCAGCAGATGGCTCATATCATCTATTTCTGATTTTGCCAGGGGTAGTTCAGCTGGGTACAACCAAAACAGGCTGTTAAATCAGCCACACTTTTTTGCATGTATATTAAGTGCCCATGGGTCCCATCTAGCTCACAGGAAGGGACATATGGAAAGAAAATATACTCTTGAAGTGTTCTGGATGTGGGAGGACAATGCTGGGGTTTGACTCTTGGCCTCTGGCCTGCTCCCTTCTCTGGGGAGGTTATTCCATCCTGGGGACTGCCTGGTTGCTGGCGGGAGCTGGTTATTGAGTCTCAGTGGCACGGTGTGGTGCCTCTCCTCTGTCCTTTCTCCTCTAGGAGCTGGAACCCTGACCGCTCTTCAGGAAGAAAGGAGTCTGCACATGCAGCTGCAACCCCCCCCTCCTCCCCCCCCATCACCGCCTCACTCCCCTGCTTACCAGATAATGCTCCTTTATTTATACACTGTCTAGGGCGAAGACCCTTATTACACGGAGAACGGTGGAGGCCAGGGCTATAGCTCAGGCCCTGGGGCCTCCCCTGAGGCTCAGGGAAAGGCCAGTGTGAACCGAGGGGCTCAGGAGAACGGGACCGGCCAGGCCACATCCAGAAACGGCCATTCAGCAAGACAACACGTGGTGGCTGATACGGAATTGTGACTCGGCTGGGAGGGGCAAGGCTGGGCAAGGTCTGGGGAAGGGGCCCCTCCCTGCATCTGACCACAAGCTGCCTCGATCCCTTACCTTCTCCCCTTTCCTGCTGCACACACCCTCGGAGGCCGTTCCTGGGGCCCTGCACCCCACCAGGCCAAGGGTCTCTCTCTACCTTGGGGACCGGGAGGTAACCCCTGCCCTTTCCACGTTCAGCTCGCTAAGCTTAGAATCTGGTCTACTTTGAGTGAAGGTATGAGGGGAAAATGCCAAAGTGCAGGGAAGCTACCAGGGTTGGGGGTGGGGGGGTGATGATCTTGCATCATTCACACATGGGCTTCTTCCCTCTCCCTCCTCTCTGCCTTATTAAAAGAACTCCCAGGGGAAGCATGGGCTTTTTCTGGGCTACAATTTCCTCCCAGGAGGCTTTGCCTTTTCCTGTTTCTTCCTCATGTCTGTCTTCTCTACTTTAGGGAAACCAAAGCAACCCAATGTACCCACTCCTTTGTAATGATATAACCAGCAAGACTTGTAGTCTTAAACCGTCTCCCTTATGCCCACGCCAAGTCACTGTGGATTCAGGCACTGGCTTCCCTCAGGTTCCCCTGAGCTCCACACCTTCTTCCCCCACATCTGCGTACAGAAGCCTGCACTGTTTTCTGGCTGAGCCTGGAACGAGGCTCCAAGTTTTGAACAATGTCTTGTGTCTGTGTTTGGGAGACAGGGTAGGGGTGCATGGACACATGCGTTCCTACCTTTGGGGACAGATGAGGGAGAGGGGATGGCTCAGTCCTTGTCTCTCTGGGGCTCACAGAGTCTCATCTTGGGCCCCTGTTTCTCCCTGTGGGTCCGAGTGGACAGGACCATGGGACCGGATCTTTGAGCCAAGCCTCTTGACCTGTGCACCTCTGAGGAAACCCCTTGCTCAGAGGCTAGGTCCTGGCCTTATCCTCTGATCTCGATGGTTTCCTCCTTCCTCCCCCTGACTCCTGGGTTGAGCTGTGGACTCAGTCTCCCAGCAGACTCCTTTCTGTCTCTGCCTCCCCCACCCCAACCCCCTCACTGCTCTGCTCCCCCGTGTAGTCAGGGCCCCTCAACATCTCCAGAGGGGCTTCATCACAAGCCACCTCCTCTGTTGGTGGCCCAGGTTTTCATTTGTATTTTTGTGTTTTTTCCAGAGGGGTGAGCAGGGATCCTGGTTTCAATGACGGTTGGAAACAGAACTTTCCAGAGATAGGAAGATTGGGTGGATTTTATTTCTGAATACAAAATGGTGTGTGTAAATACTGTAATTAAAGTGATACTGAGACACATCTGTTCTGCGTCGCTGTCCCAGCCAGGTGTGTCTGAAGGCCACAGTGGTGTCCCAGTCATACTGGGCTGGACTTCACAATGATATGGAGTGGGGTCGGGGGTGCCGGGGGGGGCAAGCCAGGAAAGAGGTGGGCCCATCTCAGGGGATACAGGCAGAAACCAGGGTGCTGCTCTTTGGCCAAGTCTCTGGCAGTTGGAGGAGGCTCACAGAAAGGTTGGCTGTTTCTAGTCCTAGAAAGAAAGACAGACCAGAGTGCAGCAGAGGCCTTCAGGATGGAGGGGGTTGTGCGGAGGACGTAGGAGCTGGGGCCTCCGTGAACACCTCTCTGGGAAGTGGCACACTTTGGTCCCTGTATGCAAAATATGCACGAGCAAGAGAAGGAGCCCCGTGCACCTTGGATTATCACACCCTCTCCACCCCGAGCCAGGAGCAGGACAGTGGAGGCTGGTGCAGGCAGCTTGTGCTCTAGAGATCGGGCTGCCAACTCCAGGCGGGGGTGCTTCTGCTTTCAGCTCTAAGACACCAAGCCTAACTGCAAACACGCCTGCAAGGGCAGCCCCCAGCTCCCAGAGCTCCCCCCGCCCCTGGGATAGGAAGTCGGGGAGGGAGCACTGCCAGACACTGCTCAGTAGCTTCAGGAAACACCCCCAAGTGTGTCAACAGTGGTGGAGGCAGTTGGGGCCAAACAAAGGATCCTTCCATTCTTATCTGGCCAAAGCCAGACCTTTCCCTTTAGCACTCCCCCCACCCCCAACTTCCCCCTTGCTTTTCTCCAACTGCTCTCACCAGAGGTTCCTCCGCAGGGCTCAGGGGGCAGGGCCGGGGGTGGAGGGCAAGGAATGAGATCTAGAACTTTCCCTAGAAGGTGATGGCTGACCCTGGGCGATGGCAGGAAGGGGAGATGGTCATCTGGAAAGAGAAGCCAGGTTGGCCCCCATCTAGTTACATCCTGCCGTGAGAGTGACCCGATGGGGTCTGGCAGGTTTCAGATGGCAGGGAGAAGGGGTGTACAGGCTACAGGCTCCTGGGAAATGTGGGAGGAGGAGAAAAAGCACCTGGATCTTTGAAACGTGTCCCACCTTACGCCCAGCAACTTGCTATTGTATTTTACCTTGAGTCTGTTGGCCAGTGTAGACTTTGGGAGGAAGGGGTGTGTGTGTGTGTGTGTGTGTGTGTATTTAGAGGGTGCCGTGGCAGCTAGTTCTCTCTGGTGACTGGACAGCTTGCCCCCAAGGACTCCTTGTACTCTTAAAAAATCAAACTTTCCGACCTTTGGCTGAGCACCCTGGCGCAGCAATGGCTCCCCCTGCTGGCCATGCTGGGCTCCTACCACTCAACTTCAGTTCCCCGGTTTCCGCGTGGGGATTCTCTCCCAGCTGCCCGACCCTTAAACAGCCTAGTCCAGTAGATCTCATCTATGAGGCTCATACAACTATAAGAAGTCACCGCTGAAGAGGATTTTAGAGATACACGCAACTTAACTCCTTTATGTCACATTAAAGACAAACTAAGGCCCAGAGAGGAGATGTGGCTGGCTGGCCCAGATGCCCTGGAACTCCGGTGTCCTGCATCCGAAGCTCTTCCCTTCATCCTACCGTCCCACTCTTCTCCCAGGCTGCAGGGTTCCTCCAGTTGGATGTCATGAGGCTGGCGAGGGCAGCCCCAGGTTTGGGGCTTCACCTCTAGAGCCTTTCATCAACATGTGCCAAGCAGGTCCCGGGGTCTTGGGACAAAGGAGAGGCTGAAGGCCCCGGAGAAGCTGTGAGGCTCAACTCCCACTGTGGTGCCCATAGTCGGCCCCAGGGAATGAACTGGAGTGTTACATAGTCCGTTGTGGAAAGCATACCCGGAAGCGTCTTCTGCCTAAGTTGCATCTAGATGGATAAACAGAATTGTCCTCTAAGTCTGTATACATGGGTCATCCCCATTCCATCCCCTCTAGGTAGATCAACCCCACACTTCCTCTTCATGCAAACCCAGTAGCAGGTAAGCAATTTTGGGCAACAGGTTGCTGCTTCTGTTCCGAAAGCCCCCACCCAAGGAGTTCACGGCCAGCCTTGAGTCATTCCAAAGTCTTAATGGAACACATCCTGCTGGGTCCCCACACTGGTCTAGTGGCTGGGGACAGAGTAGGCACAAATCCATACAGAGCTTATAAAAGAAAGACAATAAGCAAACACATTTCCCTAAGTAAATAAAGACCTATGTTTTCAGATTGTATGAAGAGCTATGAAAAACATAAAATGATTGAGAGTGACGGCCAGTACTTTGCATATGGTGGTCACTCCCAAGGAGGTAAGAATTGAGAGCATAGCTCACTTGAATGAAATGAGGGAGAGATCATGCCACGCAGGGGAGATGGCAAATGCAAAGCTCTGTGGTGCAGACCTCGGCCAAGTTCGAGAAGTCACGGATGAAGGAGGACAAGAAGGCTGCAGAGGTGACATCAGAGTGAATGCAGGGGGGGGGTATCAGCGGGCCAGGTCACAGTAGGCCTTTTAGGCTTCAGTAAGGAGTTTGACTCTTATCTGTAGATTCGGAAACTACTGGAAGGTTTTGAGCAGAGAAGTAATATGATCTGATTTATGTTTTTAAAGGGTCAAGCTGGCCGCTGAGTAGAGAATGGGGTTAGAGAGGCAAGAGAGCAGAAGGGAGGAGGGCAGGTGGGATGATTGTACCCAGAGGAAGGATCACGGCTGGGAGCTGGGTGAGAACAGCGGAACCGGAACAGAATTCCAAAGAGGTCTTGAAGGTCCAGCTAACAGGGCTTGGTCCCTCCGTGTATTCCTTCAAATACCAAAATTTAAACAGTGTATTTTATTTAATATTCACAGAAACCCAATGAAGCAAGTACTATTATCTCAGAAAACAAAACTGAGTTTTCAGAGTAATGGGGGGTTGTGCTAGAGGCTCAGGGGGTAGAAGCAAAGACGAGTAAGGTATGAGTTTATTGGAAACCACAGAGTTTTAAATCTTGAAGAGAATACTCTAAGTGCATTAAAACAAACAACAACACTACAAAGTGCAAGGCAGGAGGTGAGCAATAACACAAGTGAAGTGTTGTATATCCAGAGGTGGGCAGACTCCTTCCAGCAGGGAGATCAGGGACTGTGAGTCCTGGGGAGGCGGTATCTGAGTGGGGTGGTAAACGTGGATACAGTTTTGGTGGCAAAAATGGGTGAGGACAGTTGAGGCTGATAGAAGAGCATCCGTACGTGCATGCAGAGGTAGGAATACAGGGAAGTAAAAGATCCTTTCAAAACACTGTGTTTGCCAGTACAGCAGAGTAGGAGGATGTATTAAGGGAAGCCACATACCAAAAAGGTGTGTGTCCCAGTCTGTGTGGGGCATTGAATGCCGGGCCACAGAGCTTAATTGTATTGAATAGGAAAGAGAGTACCACTGAAAAGTTCCCATTTATTCTTGATTTATTCATTTATTCAACAAATCTTTCTTTTTTTTTTTTTTTTGAGTGTTTATGATAAGCCAGGTACGATGCCAAGTACCTGGGATAAGACACAGTTCCTTCTGGAGCGCCTGGGTGGCTCAGTTGGTTAAGCGACTGCCTTCGGCTCAGGTCATGATCCCGGAATGCTGGGATCGAGTCCCACATCGGGCTCCCGGCTCAGCGGGGAGCCAGCTTCTCCCTCTGGCCCTCTTCCCTCTCATGCTGTTTCTCTCTCTCTCTCTCAAATAAATAAATAAATAAGTAAATAAAATCTTTTAAAAAAAAAGACACAGTTCCTTCTGTCAAGTTTTTACACTGGTGAGCGTGGGAGGGACAAATGACAGAACAATTAGCACTGAATCTAAGTGATATGGTGAAGGATACTTGGAGTGGAAGGGGCACGGATACCATGGAAGGCTTCCCAGAAGAGGTGACATCTGGGACAAGCAGGGAAGAAGACACTAGAGATCAGTGTTCCAGGAAGAGCAAAGTGGGGGTGGTCATTCCAGAAATGTGAGGGGTTCTTTTAAAGTCCAAGCAAAGAATATGATTCTTCTTTGTGTCTTCTATTTCCACGCTGAGACTTTCTATTTGTTCTTTTATTTCAAGCATGTTACACAATTGCTCATTGAAGCATTTCTATGATAGCTGTTTTAAAATTCTCATCAGATAATTCCAAAATCTCTGTCATCTCAATATTGGTGTCCGTTAATTATCTTTTCTCATTCAAGTTGAGATTTTTCTGGTTCTTGGTATTACGAGTGATTTCAGATTGTATCCTGGACATTTTAGGTACTATGTATGAGACTCTAGATCTCATTGCAATCTCCTGTTTTAGCAGTCCCCATGTGATACTGCCCTGCTGGGGTGGCCTTCCTGTTACCCCCTGGGGGGTGGGGGTGGAAGTCCAGGCCCCCCATTCGGCTGTTTGTACCTGCTGGTGTGGGTGCCCCGTTATCGTTGGGCCAGAGTGGGAGTTCAGTCTCCCTACTATCTCTCTGCTGATAATGACATAGCATTCTTTGAGTCCTGAGGTCCCTACCCTTCTTCTCTTACCTTTCAGAGTCTTATGTTTGTTTTATATATAATATCCAGAGTCTTTAGAAGTACTTAGCCCGAGAGATAGGAAGAAGTGCATCTGCTTCATCCTGTCTGGAACTGGAAGTTCACGCAAACAAACGTGAAGGAGGAGGGGCCAATCACAGGCTGCGAGGCTGGAGCGATAGGCTGGTTCTAGAGCAACTGTCCCCAAAGCCCGCTCACGCCGTGAAAAGTTATTGACGACTTCAAAGAGCTTTTGATTTTGAGAGTTATATCCATCAATAATCACTATGTCAGAAATTAAAATGGGGAAATTTTTAACTTATTCAGTAATTCATTTAAAAATGATCATTTTGGGGTGCCTGGGTGGCTCAGATGGTTAAGCGTCTGCTTCCGCTCGGGTCATGATCCCAGGGTCCTGGGATTGAGCCCCACATCGGGCTCCTGGCTCAGCGGGGAGTCTGCTTCTCCCTCTCCCTCTGCCTCTCCCACTGCTCATGCTCTCTCTC